TGTCTGGTGGTAGGTGACCTCTTTCTCTGACTAGCACCAGAGCCTGATGCCACAAGTTAAGAGCCCAGCATGGCCGAGCGTTCTGCAAGAATACAGGATATTCCCTAAAATCGGCATCCATGGTCTCTCTACCTGGATCTTCAATGCATAAGCCCCACATGCCACAGGCTGTTGCTGGCCACCACACTGCAGTGCTGGCCCAACAGCAAGTCTATGCCATTCCTGGAGACCCATTAGCTCACGTTGGTGCCTCAGTTCCTGCATTAGTCACTGAGACCATGGCAGGTTTGGCTGGAGGCAGCTCCACGCACCAACCTGCTTCATCTCTAAGCTCTTCAGTGTGATCCCAGGTGGCTTCTTCTACCCAAGAAGGACAATCCCATGTTGATCTCCTCAAATGCACCCAAGTTCTCAGGATGAGACAGCTCTTAGAAGCAGTTTATCCAGCTTGGGCTCCTCCTACATGGCTACGCTTCCCATCACACAAGCTGTCACCGATCCTTTCCAGGACCAAATGCTGTTTCCCGTCAGGAAGTCACCAGTCAGGACAACCAGGTGAGGATGCTCACAGCTTCTCAGCTACTTTGCATCTTTTGCATGATGAATCTTTGGGCAACTCCGGAGAAGAAAAGTCTCCCATGTGTGGTGCAAGCTGCCGATGGGCCAGGAGCTAAGTGCAAGTGTCCTAATGGGAACAGATCAGCCTCCACTGCCTCTCCTCCCCTGGAGCAGATTTAGAGCTTTCAGAAGGAAACAAAAACTTGTTTATCTTCACGCTAATCAATTTATAGCAATCAAAATCAAATCCATTAGGAGGCATCCTCCGCTGGAGTTTCAAAGAGACTTGTGACCCCAGGAGGCTCCGGGCTGATTGATTAGAAATTTCTGACACTAATGTGTTGCCTTCGGAGGGTCCGGGGTGGCTTTAATTCCTCCCTCCTGGGACTCCGGTCGTGTGCGAACATCTGTCAGCCTCTTCCTGCACTTAGAGGAGGGGAAATCCATGCGTGCACCAAGTGGCACGGCACAGCTGGGGAGGAGGCGGAATTTGCTGGCTTAAACAGCCTCCCCGCATCCCTCGGGACAAACCATTTGCATGATGCTTTTCTCCTTGGGCAAAAAATAATAATAATAAAAAAAAGGCACCGAGAAACGAAAAGCAGAAGGAGGGAGGCAGCGGCTTCACAGAGCTCTGCGCTTGGATTTTGGTTTCCAAACCCCAGGGGCTGAGGTGGGTTTTGTCCTATCGACACCAGCTGCCGTTCTGGGAGGTCCATGGCGAAGTCCCGCTTGGACAAAGCGGGATTTATTTTTTTCTGATGTAAGGAAATTCTTCCCCCAAGCACAGGAGCTTTTCTCTTGGAAAAGCTCCATGCCAGTGGTAGTCGCTTTCCCAAGGAAGAGGAAGAAGAAGAGGAAGAGCAGGAGGAGGCTTCTTCACCGCAGACACAGGTGGAGGCAGCACTGCCTGCTGCTACAACCAAATATCACACTGATTTCAACTCAGCTTCCAGGCTTTTGCACAGATTTGGGCTCTTTGGCTCCTCCAAGACCCCTCGCTTGGCTCCCGAGCTGCCTCCTTGCTCCCTGGGCTTGTCTTGGGCTAAAGCGGAGCGCTCAGAAGCGCACGGTCTTGTTTTGCACCCTCCAAAACGTGCAGAAGTCCCTCTTACCTCGTTAGCTTGCTCAATCACTTAGAAACACACGCCTCATTTTTATTTTTAATTTGCCCAGTGTCGGTTTAACCCAACTGCTTCTTGCTATGCCCATTCACCGCTAGATCAAAACGCCCTTTAGAGGCGGTTTTTTCCTCGTGGTAATCATCTCACCTCTTAATCATCTTTTGGATAAGTCATAGCCACCGTGCAGACAGACAACCCTGGCAAGGTGCAATGCACATCTTAGTGAGACCCAGAGTCCGGTCACCTACGGCCTGGGGACAACGAGGGACACAACAAAGTCCGCAGGGTCCCCAGCCTGAGTCCCATTTTCTCAAGCTGTGGCTGGGCTGCAAGCTGGAGAAGGAAATGTGACGGTGACAAAAGGAAGCCAATGCATTTGGGTAAAAAAACACCCCAAAACATAAAAAACCCAACCTCCCCCCCCCGCCAATCCCTAATTATACAACCACAACGACGGGCGCTAAATTAGCTATTAACATGCAGGGAGGAGATCTCAGCGGGGCTGGAGGTAGCACTCTCAAAGCATCAGTTCAAAGCTCATCCGTCATGAAAAAAAGAAGAGAAACTGTTAGGAATCACTAAGAAAGGGACCGAGGAGCAGGCAGGAATGCTATTAAACCACCGTGTGAAGCGCTGCTGAGGGTGCAGCGGTGTCACCCTTAGGTGAGGGCATGAGGAGGGTGGTAAAAGTGATCAGAAATACAGAGCACATCACATAAGGACCTTCCACGTAAAAAGAGACAACCCGGGGAAGTCTAAAAACCCATCAGGAATACAGGAGAAACAAGTGGGAAAAGCCGTCTCACAACTCCTGCATTTCAGTGCGTTTTTGGGGTCTGCCCCAGCCAAGCTGCCCAGCACCCAAAGAATCTCCAGGCTACCAAGATCTGTTGCAACCAGTTTTCCAGGGGACACAACCTGCAGGCTTCCCATTCCAGGGCATCTAACAGCCTCTAAATGACCCTCCCGCAGGGTCTTCTGCTGAGTTATCCCTGGATCACTCATGTTTTGGAGAACCAAGCTTCAACAGTGCGAGTGGTGGGAAGCATGCTTAGGAGGGATGGGCCCCTAGGCTTCCCATCTATGAGATATACATGTTCCCATTCCCAGGGCTCATGTGAGCTGCAAGATGAACTTGAGAAGACAGAGCACTGCCAGGCTGTGAATAGCTCCAAAGAAAGAAAAGGGATCTCAGCTGAGCCCAGCACGGAGCATCTACTGCTCAGGCCCCTTGCAATGGATTTAACTACCAGAGGCTTCCAAGGCTGCCTGTTAGGAGCTCCGGCTTCCACCTCTCCCATTAGCACCTGGAAATGGAGAAGCCACATTCATGCTTTGGGAAATGGGATTGCGGAGGCATGCAATGGATGCTGCTTGTCCTTGTGCCAGCCCATGCTATTCTGGAAGCCTTTGGTTACCTTCCATTCATCTGCTTTCAAGTTATCTGAGCTGGGAAAAGGGGTTGGTTGCTTAGGGGAGGTTATTTGTTATTTCTCCCAACGCAGATGGTGGAAAAAGCAGTTCCTGGGTACAGCTCCCTCATCGCAGCCGCGTGCAGAAAGCCTCCTGATCTTGGCTTCCTGGTGGGCACCTCCAAACCCCGGCAGCGCTGGGACCCAGCCGCTCCGCCAGCCGCAAGGCGGATGATGAAGGATGCTCGAAGCATCTCTGGGGACGTGGGACTCGCCAAGGGGCCTCCCGCAGCTGCGTGTTTGCAAACACCCCGGCGGAGCCGCGACGAGGGGCTGAAAGCAGTAATTGTCTTTAATTAAAGGAGGTTGGAGGCATCGCGAGCAGCGACAAAAGGCGCTCGCAGCCCGCTGGCGAGCTCCCCGTGCTTGTGGCTGCTGCACCCGCAAGCAGAGCTACCCTCCGGTGCGACCCTGTCCTTGCAAGGCACCCAAACCGGTGCGCGTTTAGCTCTAGAGTCAGGTGGGTGCAGCTCCGGATTAAACAGCTTGCATGGAGGTGTTCGGGCTTGTTCGGTGGCTCTGCTCCGGCTATCCAAACGTTCCTCCCCACGTTTCCTGCATGCTCAGGGGGCTCTCTTTGCTGCGTGTCCCCCCAGCAGGGCCCATTGCCCAGGAGATGCTGCGTCCGCCCTCCTCCTCCTCCGCTTTGCCTTTGGCCTCGCGGGCGGGGAATCGTGCCTCTGGTTTCCATGGCAACCATCCCGGGGTCCCCCGCTCGGAACGCGCGCGCCGCGGGTCCTGCACGCTCGTCCCCGGCTCGCTAGTGAAGGGCATTGCGTTCCTCCAAACCCTGACGCCGGCTCCTCATTCGGGCACCCCGACGTGCCAGCATCCTCTGTGCAGCACAAACGCTTGCTTTCCACCTGAAAAAAATTATCCTGTTTCCTACATCAAGCCCTGCACACCTGGGATACGCCCCATCGCTCACGCTCAGAGCTACACGCATTCTCAAATCCTAAACACGCAGGGAAATGCATGCGGGCTGTGCCCCATGCACGTCCCACACGTCCCTAGCATGGTGAAGTTCCTCCTCCTGCCTCCTAATTCTGCTTAGAAACCAAGAAAAAGCAATAATTGGGGGCAGATGGGTGCATCCTTCCGTTTCCAAACCACTTGCAGGTCCTCAGGCTCAAAAGCCCAAAGGCTTCGGGCGAGTCTGGAGACTTTCCTCCTCTCCCTGCAGCTCCCACATCTCTTATTCTGCAGCCCCCGCTATTGGTCCACCCCCCAGGGTGCAAATTGAGAGCAAAACACTAACATTAGAGCTCGGATCAATGCTCGAGCTGATGCAGGTGAAGGTAATTGCCTAAGCACTATAGTTGTGCAGGTGACCAAAAATTATGGTGAGGGCATTCAACGTGTGGGACTGCATCCATCGTCTCCAAGTGAGGGGAGACACGTTGCCCTGCACCACCCTACTGCAAACTGCAGCTCCCTAAAGGCAATGCAATCCATAACCGGGATACACACCAGGGAAAGGGGAAGGAGAAGCTTATCTGGGCACCTGTCATTTACTGACTGTTGCTCCTAATGTTCTTCCCTCCCCACTGCTGCTATTTCTCTTTTGCAAACGTTCCAGGTAATATGCTGGGAGGGCCAGTATATATTGCATTTATATATATTTATATATATTGCATTTACTTGGCCTAATTGGGATTTCTAAATCCCACACCATGAAATCCTTCCAAATGCATGGGGTAGAAACCATCCTGTTCTATCTTCACTTGTAAAGAGGTCCTGTCTTGTCCTTGGAGGTGACCTGGAGCCTCCCATACCTGGAATCCAGTTGCATGACTGCCTTTTTCCATCTTAATTACATGAATGCCTGCAGAAGAAGCGTTTCCACTATGACAAATTTTTCCAAGCTTCCTAGCTTCAGTTATGTGTGTCCTCTGGGCAAGGAGAGCGTGCCATCGCATGCAAGTCCGATGCTGAGCTGCAGGTAACGGAGAAGGTGTAAGGCACCCTCAAGACAGAGACCTGAACCCACCAAGACCATTGGACTCCCTGGTGAAGAGCTTAATGCTCAACGATGCCTTGCATCCGCTCTGTCCCTTGGATTTAACCCACTTGGGGACTCTGGACTGTCCAACCCAAATCCTTATCCTCCGCACATCCAATGAAGATACAGATAACGGGTTCAGCAAGGAAGAACAGGGAGGAAGGTGGAACAGCCTGGTGGAAATCCCTGGCAGATGTCTGAAACCCAAGCAAAAATGCTGGTGATACTACCCAGGAGGCTGCAGATGGCCTCCTGGAGAGCCAACGCCGTAAAAAGGTAGATACCAGGCACTTAATGGAGTGTGATGCTTGCTGCTTGACAAACGCTATCTCTCACTATAACTTTTCCAGAAATTACTGCAACCTCTTCAAAAGCCATCCGGACTGGGAGAAGAGCCATTTGGAGCAAAACGCCCACATTAATCTACTTTATCAGCTCTGCTTCCAACTGCGCTTTCATTCTTAATCATCTTGAGGGTTCGGGTATTTTGATAGCCCTCCGGATCGGGTGTCTATTTGACCGCTTATCATTCCCTCCATCCCTGTCTTCTGTGACAGTTGCAGGTGATAATGTTTGAGGAGGAAATGGTTAACTTTGGGTTCAGAGTTAAAAAACTGTCTAGTTGGACACAGAATCTTGCAGAGCTCCAGGTGTGATAACGGTCCCAACCTGAGGCTCCTCACAGGATCACAGAATGTTCAAGGTTGGCAGGGACCTCTAGAGATCATCCAGTCCAACCCCCTGCTCCAGCAGGGACACCCAGAGCACGGGGCACAGGGTGGCATCCAGCGGGGTTTTGAAGACCTCCAGAGAAGGAGACTCCCCAGCCTCCCTGGGCAGCCTGTGCCAGGGCTCTGTCACCTCACAGTAAAGAAGTTCCTCCTCACATGGAGATGGAACTGCCTGTGTTGCAGCTTGCACCCATTGCCCCTGGTCCTGTCACTGGCCACCACTGAGGGTGTTCCTTGACCACCGATCAAGGAAAATCCCTTTCTCGAGAGGATTTTCAGTCTCCTTAGCGGGATGCTCCCAAGACTTGGCGATTTAATGCCTACATTGAACATTGCTTCTCCTTCTCCTGCCTTCTGCTCTGCCAGTTCCACAGATGCCATCAAATCTGCCCATTTCTCAACATTTCTCAAGGCCCCAGACAACCAGCCTGAAGAAACACTGCAAGGAAAAGCCGATTACTGAGTATTTAACCCGCGATTTCCAAAGCTCAATGCAAAATGCTTCGCCATGACGCCCTAAATACAAACCCATCTCTCCTCCTTATTTTCTTCTAACATTCTTCAACCTTTTTAACATTCTCTTTGGTGTGTTCCTCTGTTTTCCCCACTGGTTCCCCAAACACCTACAAGAAGAAGCAAAGAAGATGACGGGATGCTCTCACGGCATTTCTGCCAGCTTTGATCACGATGCTCGTGCTTCTCCTTCCTAGCGGGACTTATCCCTAACTCCTGCTCATGCTAGGACGGAGCAGGGCCGACTGGTGTCGCGGCTTCCTTGGAAAAAGCGCAGTGCTGGAAAACGCTGCATATTTTGCTCGGCGTGACCTAATTTCGCATTGTTTGAAGTTTGGTTGTGTGTAAGCTCAGCCAGCGCATTAGCTGGGCCATGATTGGATTTCCTAGCCTTTTTGGGGGGTTTATTCATATTTTCCAGTGTTATACTGTGTTTCTAAGGCTGACGGGGAACAATATAGAGTTTCCCTGGAGCTAATTAAGCTAATCACGGCTTCTGGATCGCGTTTTGCAGGATGATTTTTACCTTGCATCTCCAAAAAATAAAGCCCTAAGCTCTTGCAGGGTGGCCATCTGGCATCAAATGATTTCTGATGGAGAAGCAACACATACATCTGCAAGGATCGGCTCTCATCTACCCCCTGGTATCATCCTGATGCTGGAAGAAGAGCTCATGTGGAGAGAAGGACCGACTTATGGGAGGGAAACCCTGGGGGTGACCATCCTGGTGACCATTTCCATCCATCAGGACACCAATACTCCTAGGAAGTTTTGATGGACCTATGTAGAACTCAGCAACTCAAAAGCCAAGCAGTTCCCTCTCATCCCTTCTGCTTGCTTGCAGCCATCAAGGTTTGGTCCCTAAGGATGGGGAATTCCCAACATGGGATGAGTTGTCCACCTCCCTTCCCCAGCAGCAGACTTGCGCCATTCCTGGACCATCTGGGCCCCTCTTTGCTAGGTCACCATCCTTCAGGGCTTTGGATTTCCAGGAAGAACATGGCTCAAAACCCACCTGCCTGATGCCCGGTTACTCTCCCTGGCTTCCCTGGTCCCATCCTGATCCAGAGAACCCCCAAACCACGCAGAAACGCAACCAGGCTGACACCTCTTCCAGCTCCACGAGGCAGCTCTGGCAGCCTCAGAGCAGTTCATCCCGAGCAGCTGCAATCCCCACCGCCGCCCTGATTAGATTCCCAACATGGAAGGGTCAGCAGGGGTGGGAGGGAGAGGAATCAAAGCAGTGGAAAGAAAGACGGAGAGGGAGAAGCCTCCACAAGGACACCGCGCCGTCGCTGGCTGGGAGCATTCAAATCCTCAACAGCCCCACAGAAAAAGGCAGACAAATTCCCGTTTTGTACTTGGGAAGGAGCCAGGTGATGTCATCATCTTCCAGGAGGATGGCGGAATACTTTCCATTCCAGCAGTAACTCAAGATGTCGAAGAGCAGCTCCTAAAGCTAAACACCGCTAAATCAGCGTGTCAGGGCAGCGTCTACCTACGGATTTTCACAAAGCTGGCTGACAAACTGGGGGGGCCATTAACGTTCCCTTTCCCCAGGCCGTTGAACAGGGGATGTTCCAGAGATGTAGGAAAAAGCTATTTGTTAAACGAGGCACTCTTGCCTATTTTAGGATTCCCGCTCCAGCCTCTGCACCAGGCAAATAAAGCCGTGCCAGCTACAGGACTCGGTCAGTTAGGAATTAAAGGGAGGTAGCCGTGAAAACCCATGTACATTTATGGAAAACAGATTAGGGCAAATTAGCCTCGTATGGGGTTTTGCTGCTTTTGATGCAATTACAAGTCTGGTTGGGAGAGGTAACAGCGTTAATGCAATGCGCCCAGACTTCTGCAGAGCATTTCCCCAAGTACCACATGATATTTTACGCAGAAATCAGAGGGGCTGCAGACACCGGGGGTCATATTCAATGCATTCAAACTCGGTGAGCCTGTAGTGCTTTGCTCCGCGAGCTTGCACTGAGCGGGTCTCTTTCTACTGGAGCCAACAGATTTGGGTCATGACTCTGGGCTATTAAAGATTTTTATCAATGACCTGGAGAAAGCCCAATGAAGAAAGTTAGCTGGTGACATGGAAGTTGCAGTATGGTGAATGCCAAAGAAGGTTTGCTAAATGCTCAAGTGCATGGGTTGCTCATACCCAAGCACCCGGATGCCACAGAAAGCTGGGTGCAAGTGAGCCATACATGTTTCAGTAGAAATCTGCGTCAAATCACACCTCCGGGGAACAGGGTAGAGGCCACGCTGGTGGCTTCCATGTCAAAAGGATGTGGGTCATGGCAGATGAGCAGATGAGTAAAAGCAATCCATGAAAAGCCACGGCTCAAACAGCTAGAGCAAATGTGGGACCTAGGAACAAGGACAGCTCAAGGAGGGAAGCAACATCCACTCCGACACTAACGGCTGCAAAAACCATGGTGGAATCTATGGGACGCTGGCTTGCCCACTAGAAAGCCAAAGAGCTGCCAAGGGTGGGGAAGAGCGAMTGAGGTTGGCCCAACAGCTTACCAAAGAGAGCCAGAAGCTCAGAGATTCCTCTCACGTAGCTGCATGGAAAGCAGAATGTGGGGAGGAAGGGCTTACTAGGCAAAGTTTGCTAAGGTCCAAATGTCCAGCAGTGCATTAGAAACCTTATGCTTTTCACAGAGGATGAGAAACCACTGGAAGAATTTAGTAGATAATTCTCCATCTCTGGAAACATTTACATCAGAATTGGCTCTATCCGCTCTAGTTCAACCAGGAATGTTTTCTATAAGAGTTTAATTACCCCTAGGGCCTTATAATTTATTGGCTGGGTCCAGCATTATCAGTGGAGGCCCAGAACCAACGCGGGCACRGGGCCATAAATAGCCCCTTATCTTCAAAACATCACGTACAGAGGGAACACAATTACAAGGCAGCGAGGACAGAGCCTTCCCCAGCACTCCAGAAGGACGCACGCATTCCGCTGTGTGCAGATGGTCTGCATCCTGTCTCCCAAATGCAAGCACAACACACCTAGAACTGATTCCTACCTATTTTCCACCTAACTTTGGCACAGAGGAAGAGCTCTAAGTCCAGGATTTGCATTTGTCCACACGTTGCGTCCTCTCCATGCCCACAGCGCATCCCTACCCAAACCCAAAGCTGGTTTTGTGCAACCACATCCCCTACCAGGGCTTCCCCATATACTAATGTGCTGTGGCAATGACCCTAAAGGACATGCTTCTCCTTGTAGAGTTGGGCAAAGACTCTAAAGGACATGCTTCTCCTTGTAGAGTTGGACAATGATCCTAAAGGACGTGCTTCTCCTTGTAGAGTTGGACATGGACTGAGTCAGTCTTAGTGTTGAACTGGGCTGGGTATTTTGTTAGGACAGTGGTGGAGCTGGGCCAGGTCAGTGCTGGCGATGGATCCGTTTTGGAGCTGGGCAGGGTTGTTGTTTGAGCTGGATGGGGTCAGTATGGGATGGGAKGGATGCTGGGGTTAGAGCTGGCTCGGCACTTCCATGCTCTCCGTCACGGCTCTCTCCCCAGGAGAAGAGCATGAGTAAAGTGACAAAGGCTTCCTTCCTTCCTCCCCACTCCTCYAGCGACTCACTGTTGGGCCCCCAGACCCCCACAGTGGTCTTGAACTGGAGAAGACGATGAGTGGCCAMCAGGATCTTCTAGAGACTACCTTGGCTGCCTCCTCTTCCCAGCACCCCACCACGCTCCCTTGTCCTTCCTCAAAAGGAACCCATGGTTGGCAGGGACTCTCATACCATCCCTCATCATCACAGCACCGTCAGAACTCCCCGTGCTCTGCTGAGAAAGGGGGAGAGGGAGGAGAGAGCCGGGCCGGGGGGAAAGGGAGGAGGTAGCCCAGACAAAGAGCACGGAGACGCCGGGAGAAAACGAGAGAGCAGGAGAAGGTGAAGCTGGAAGATCGGGAGCCAGGGAACGGAAGGGAAGGGAGATGGGAGGGGAAGCTGTGCAGGGAGGAGGGCCTTGGGAAGAAGGGAGCAAAAGGAAAGGAGYCCCAGCTCCAGCTTCTTAACCACGCCGGGTCACTAACGGCTCCTCGAGCCTTCCGCGCCGGGGCTGCAGGCTTAGGAGGGCTTAAGCTGTTAGATGCATGAACTTCCTCCGTAAAATACCTCTCTCGTGCACCCGTCTCAAGCGTGCTCACAATGTTATCAGCCTCAGGAGAATTTTGGAGGAGAAAATGAGCAGCAGTTCCCAGCGCTTTGCATCACTGAGGAGCTTTGCATCACTGGGCATGCCCTTTTTCCACCCAAAGGCGGGAGCAGGGCGCACGGGTSCCCCCATGCCACGTCCCCTGCAGGCCACCGAGACTCGGGAGAGCCCTGCGCGCCGACAGCCAGCCCGGATTTGCTTTTGTTTGGCTTCTGGAAAGGGGCCCAGATTTCCTCCTGCCCTTGGCAACGCCACAAAACGTGCGAGCCACATGCAGCAGCAAGGCCGCTGCAACCAGCGCGCGCTGCGCCGGCCTGCAGCGCGACGGGGCAGCCCCCGCGGCGGCACGGGAGGAGGAGGGAGCCTCCGGGATGCATGGGATGGAGGCGCTAAGACCTCTCCTCTCCTCTCCTCTCCTCTCCTCTCCTCTCCTCTCCTCTCCTCTCCTCTCCTCTCCTCTCCTCTCCTC